CATCATCTCAGACATGACAGAACAAAGTTGCACACACTGTCATTGATGAACATTGAACAAACTAGAAGTGAAATATTTGTCTAAAACAAACACTTTTTTATGGTTTACAATTTTAAATCCCTGTTGGTTTGATATTAGGCAAGGATGTTCTAATCTATCTTGGCTTAATCAGATCGTGATCTACAGCTTTCGCTGGAGCGGTTCGCAGCCGAATGCGACGCGGTCGGGATGAAGATCAGTTCCTCCAAATCCGAGGCCATGGTCTTGAGCCGGAAAAGGGTAGAGTGCCCTCTCTGGGTCAGGGAGGAGGTCCTACCCCAAGTGGAGGAGTTCACGTATCTTGGGGTCTTGTTCATGAATGAGGGAAAAATGGAGCGTGAGATTGATAGGCGGATAGGTGCAGCGTCAGCAGTGAAGCAGGCGCTGTACAGATCTGTCGTGGTGAAGAGAGAGCTGAGTCAAAAGGTGAAGCTCTCAATTTACCGATCGATCTACGTTCCTACTCTCATCTATGGTCATGAGCTTTGGTTTGTGACCGAAAGAATGAGATCTCGAATAAAAGCGGCCGAAATGAGTTTTCTCTGCAGGGTGTCTGGGCTCTCCCTTAGAGACAGGGTGAGAAGCTCGATCATCCGAGAGGGACTCAAGAGTAGAGCCGCTGCTTCTCCACGTCGAGAGGAGCCAGTTGAGGTGGCTTGGGCATCTGTTTAGGATGCCTCCTGGACGCCTCCCTGGTGAGGTGTTCCGGACACCCCACCGGAAGGAGGCCCAGAGGAAGACCCAGGACACGCTGGAGGGACTATGTTTCTCGGCTGGCCTGGGAACGCCTCGGGATTCCCCCGGAAGAGCTGGACCAAGTGGCTGGGGAGAGGGAAGTCTGGGCCTCCCTACTTAGGCTGCTACCCCCGCGACCCGACCCCGGATAAGTGGAAGAAAATGGATGGTTCTAATCTATTTTTTGACGCGTTGAGATGCAGACATGAACTGTTGTAAATCAGTGTAAATATGTTAAAAATGGATGATTTAGTACTCAAAATATTGTGTTGAATAATGCAAACTGTGGATCTCTAAGTGTGGAAGTGCAGCGACCTGTTGGTTCATGGAGCATGTACACACCAGAGAAAGAAACAAGATGGCTGACTGAGACAAACTGCTCCTTCAGCATTAAAATTCAGTGTCTGGAAGTATTTTAGCTTTGACAAAGTTAAAAGAAAAAAAAAATGATGTGAATGAGCTACACTATAAGCAAGTCGTGTACATATTTTTATATCCAGAGGACGAAGGAAAAAGCGCAGGGGTTACCTGCTGATGCAGCCAGACTCATCAAGAAACATCAAAGTTTTGACTTAACTTTGAAAAGACGAGGTGAATGAAAATCCATATTACTTTTATAGTGAAAGACTTGAGTTTGCACTAAGTGGTTAAAAGAGAAGGCATGTTTGCTGTGTTATGCACTTTGGAGCCACAATACATTATCATTTAACATCAAAATATACTAAAACAGTCATTCAAAAGAATGACTTGAAGTTCTTCAACAAGAGCAAAACAACATGGTGGAAACACTGAAGAAAGCAGGTGAGACAGCTCGGACGTTTGATGCAAGGACAATGTCAGCCACAAGATCTCATGTCCCTGTACTCAGCATTTTGACTCAGTTCATGTTCATTGACGTAACATAATCTTGGTGGAATAAAAACTGTTGCAAAATATTCTGTTTCCTTTTGGTCTGAGACTCTACAGGTGCTGATCATAAAATTAGAATATCATTTTTTCATTCAACCTTTATTTAAACAGATAAATCACATTGAGCCTCGAAGACTCATTTACAAGTGAGACCTGTTTGGACAGATAAAAACAGTGGTTAACTGGACACATGTAGGAGTTGGAGGCGAAAAAAATTCCTATCTGACTTTTTTCTTGGCTGAGAAAAACCCCTAATATTGAAAAAACACCTTGCACAAACAAGCACATATTTACATAGACATTCTGCCATCAGAGACGAGACCGGTCAACAACGCCTACAGATGCTCTCGAGGTCACTGTAATCAGTCAATGTCCTCCAGTGAGATCCATAAACATTCTCGAGGTATGTCGAGAAATGGCAAAGGATAACCTCTATAAGAATCCAGAGTCCTGAAATGATGACACAAAGTTTTTTCAGCGGGGTTTCATCTGGTTATCAGTTGGAAATTCCTCAGGGAGCAGGTGGTGAGCGTCACATCACATTTTCTCCAGGCGACTTTAGATAAGATGGCCTTCAAGGACAACCAAGGCGACCAAAATTTAGATAAACATGTAGTTGTTTTGGGGACAGGCAGAACTTAATGACATCATCCTTAAGTCTGTGTCGGTCTACTCGGTTCCAAAATGTCCAAATTAACATGGCCACACCGATGGAAACGTGTCTGAATAAAAATCCCGAAGATCTGATCCATTCAGCCCAAAGCATTTGAGTCTGGGTACTCCAGACATGAACCAAGCCATCATACCATACCATACCATACCAATTTATTTATATAGCACTTTAAACAGTGACAAAGCACACCAAAGTGCTGTACAGGGACAAACAGAGCAAGCACATAGCAACAGATTACATAACAGG